ACAAGTTTCAGTGAATAATTGATGTGTTATCCAAGAGGGTAGATAGATATGGTGGTCATGATTCAATAAGTCTCTCTTGTATATTGTAGGATGGACGTTGAATGTTTATCAGCTGTGTTGTCATTTGCCCACTCTGCAGGTGCTTGGAAGTTGTCTGCCATCAATGTGCTCATCAAGAACAGATAATTCACGAAAGGTTCCCTGAGATTATTACAAATAATATGGTCCATTTATTCGGATCCCGAAATGGGGCATCGAGAAGCTAGTAATCCAGGCTAACTGAGAAACTTTCACGCTAAGTATATCCAAGCTCTACTAAATCCCATATTCTTGGAAGATCGTCTCAAAATCTGCGTTAATTTGGATGCGCATCACTCCCATGCTTTCCTGATAGCTATCCTGTGTACAAGACCATCATAAGTTTTACCATGTCGGAACATCGACAGTTAAAATACACACCGGAGTACATAAAACGACCTTATTCATTAAGCTTTTGCTGGCTGCGTCAGCTTCTTTGATGAAGGTGATGACTTGGTCTAAGATGAACACGCCGTCCTTGGTAAAGATCGTCTTCAACTGGACAATACACTGGCAGACAAGCTGGATTGGGGTCATTAAAGATTTGACTTTGTCCACCATGATCTGGCCATCGGCTACCGACACAACACTGCTCTGTATTGTAATTTGTCAGACCAAAGGCACAGCTAAGGGAAAGTAGTCACGCACTGGGCAGGCATCATCGCCAGATTTGATTTCAGAGATGAGGGCCTCTGCCATCGTGAACAAATTCTGACCAATACCGTTAGAAAGAAAGGAGGTATTGAATATCTACTGGAAGACGTGCCATTAGGTTTCCATCGGTAGTCTCAGCTTGATAAGTGGTGCAAGCTACTTGCACCTTGCCTGCCATTGTAACCATGGCGTCAAAGGCGTCACAGAGTCCGCTGAAGTTGCGACGGTCCACAAGAGTGTTAGTGATAGCGACAGAGACGAGGGTAAGAAGTGTGAGAATGCGAAAGAACATGTTGAGCTTTGGTTTGTACGACTATGGTGGGTGCAGTTGCTGGGGAAATGAAGGCGTATCTCGAGTCTTTTATACCATTCAGTGTGAAAATACTCCGAGGAGAGAAGCATCAAACTAACCATCTAGTACAGTGTTAGTGGACATGCAACTATCCGGACTGTCAGACGAGGATTAATATGCCAGACCGGAAGGCAGATATAAATGAGTCACGGTTTTATTACGAATGTTGCTCTCAGGATCGATTTAATTTCAGGATTTATATTGCTCAGATGACATCAGTGAGCGATGAGCCCTAGGCAATCGACGGGATAATTGAATAAACGGGGACCCATCGACGACGCGTATGCATGGGTGTATGGGGTTGACACTGCCGGCCGCTGGTGTTAATATTCTGAGAGTGATACTCCATAACGCTCCACTAGACAACGGATGGCTTCGGTTTTAGACAGTAGACAGGCTGAATGGCGGTTCTAGTAAGCTCTCGAGTTTTCACTGAGGTAAACAAAGAACCAGTGAATATCGAACAAGTTAGAACCGGTACTTGTCTGAGTTGCCGGTGTATGTGTACGAGTCAAATACGATGGCTCTGGTATGTTCTAGGATTGAGAGAGGCCATAAATAACCAGACAGACACTAATAGATTGCTCGCTGGTCAAATCTATTTCAGAACGCGCCTTCGTGCTGATGTTTAGTGTACAGATAAGCCCAGATTAGAACACATAGTAAAGAGAGGGTTTTCTCACCATTGTTGCATCCACAAATGACGCTCTGTCGTGTAGAGTATTGGTAAGAACTGGGAGGAGTACATAAGAGCATCGGTAAGGAGTCAGGACGCTCCTCAAACAGAAGTGCAGTCTCCACAATGATGAGCTGGCTCTGCTAAATCCTTCGATCAGAAGATAATTAATTAATGCAGTGGCGTCAATAAGGCAGACCGCAATGGGACATGCGAAATGGGCCTTTGCTCTATTGAGGAAAGCAGTCACAGTGGAGTAGGGACCTTCGTTGTTGAAGCGCTGCCGAGGGAAGGAGCAGAGCTAGTTGATGGCTGGTACAGAGTAAAGCCGCAGTGGCAAGTGTAAGAGGAAAATTGCAGAAGATCTCAGACGCAAGTTCAACTCCTAATCGAAAGAAAGGTGGAAAGCCTTTGCGGTCGTCAGAGAGCCAAATCCAGAAGTTACCGACTGCAATCGGTATTGCGGGCCGAAGCTTTTTCTCGCTTAACCACCGACTACCACCGTACGTGATTGATCTGACATTTACTTCAGAACTATCAGCACAGCATGACGAGTATCAAACGAGATATGATGGATCGATAACTGACCCCACGCCGCAACATACAAACTAACCTTGACCGTGCTACTAAAGGCTATATCAATTTGGAAGTGATTCAAGATGCATCTGCATACCGAATAAGTTTCGCCTCAAACAACGTGATTTCCTGTGTTGATTGGATGGATCATTATACCATGTATACCGCCTTTAGCCAGATACAGAGCGATCAGCGTACAGTGTATGTTTTCAGGTTATCCCTTTTCTGCGATACACTTAGTATCCCATAATCTGATGATTAACACAGTTCTACAGAAGAATATGTCAGGGGAGGCTGTCCCAATTCAAATGTTTTATTGCTTCTTTCATCGTTCTCAGCCAAGGCTTTCTCTGTGCGGCTTTCTAGCACTCGCATTGTATGTTTCTTAGAAGCAACCACGATCTGTGCAATGAAAAGTTTGCAACGATGGTTGCCTGAGTTCGATAGATGGACAAATGCAAGCATGCCAGGATCTTGTAAATCATAAAATGCCTGATAACAGGAGCTCGGCTCCTCCAACCGTTCGCTTCCTTCGAGTGCAGTAAGGAGGAAGGCTGGCCCTGTCGTAATTCTACAGTCACTGCTCACATTGAAAATAGGTTGGATCTCGACAGCGCATAGAATCATGTTCAAAGCCTTTGATGCGTCCTTGAGCCATTGCTTACACTGCCACTTGCCGTCCACGACTCAAATTTTATCAATGCAAGCCGCCCCAGGGTATTTCAATTTCACAATTAGATTCGGTCTGCGGCCTGGACCGGCGAACCAAGCCTCACATCAAACGCCCATCATCCATAGCCACTCTTCTTCCCAAAAGCCATCAGTGCGTTCTTTATATCAGCCGTCCTCCAGCGTACTGAAACAGCCGACAGTAGCCATGGACCCATCATCTGTGCTTCCCGTAGAACTCCTCTCAAAAATCTTTCGCCACTACCTCACCGATCGCGACATCCCTGTGCAATCGTTTGATTTCTCCGATGGACTCTGGGTCCTTGGGAAAGTCAGCAGTGCATGGAGGAGTACGGCCAATTCATCTCAATCACTGTGGTCCACTATAATCATCACCGAGGCATTTCCTACACGCGACTTCTGAAAGGACACGCTGCCACTCTCGGATCGGGGCCTAGTATCACAGAAGAATGCCAGCAAAATCAGGAAAGAAATCCTCGCCCAGATTCTCAGGCGCTCCGGAGGTTGTCCTCTCACCATATCTATATCATTCCCTCTCAGTATGCAATGTGGTGAGAACGTCCCCACTTCTGACTATCAGCCTCTCTGCACCATTCTCGCTGCGCACTGTCATTGGTGGCAGTCCATGGAACTTACAGGCTATCCTTACCTTCTGAATGATTTCGTACATACTCCTTCTTTTCGTCTTCAATCGTTGCGGAAACTGCATGCGATGGTACTAGACAAGGCTGTCCTGGGTCAGGTTGCCCGTCTCTGTCCAGGCCTGGTGGAATTAGTAATGGGCGCTTCGGAAGGCGAGTACACTCTCGCAAGGATCGAGATGCCTGCGCTCAAACACCTTGAAGTGTCAGGGGATACTCACGCGCTCGATTGCATCTCTGTGCCCAACCTAAAATCGTTAAAGATCAAAAGTGATCGGTTCGCCAATATACGTTCTGACCACGTTGGATCTCCTGTCGTGGAGTTTTCTCCGTTATTCAAAATGTTCAGTGCGCATGATGGATATCAACTGGCATGGCACCCACGATGACCTAGTCGCAATTCTGTCACTTACGCCATCACTCGAATCTCTTGAATGCCGTGTACCTTTCACCCGGGCTTTCCTTGAGGAGCTGAAATCCCCATCGTCGCTGATTCCTAGTCTGCATATGCTCACCCTGCGGTTTCACTACATCATTCGTTTCCCCCATGTCAAATTCATTCTTGGCATGGTCGAGTTGAGGCTCGCGGGTGGAATTTTGAAGTGCGTAAGGATTCTCCCAGTAGGCAGGACCTCCATCAAAATGTTCGATGAGCGACTGGCCGCCATCAATGCCCCACCCGATGTCACGGTTTGGCTCGAGGACAGCAGTGGATTGATTTTGGAACATTTCTTTGGTCCCGTAGCTGGAGAGGATTACGATGGCGATATTTATATGCGCCAAGTTTATTATGGTTTGGTGACTGAAGACGATCTTCCATGAGAACGACCTTGATGCGTTTACTGAGTAAGTGATCCCTGTATTCAGGAATGATGATGTCACTGACGCGTATACATTTAGATATGAACTTCGTCTCTCGAATTATGGACACATACTTCATTATAAACCACCAATAGATTTTTGCTACTTTGATGTGTCTAGACTACGGTGACCATTCATAATGTTTCCTGCCTTCGAGGCTGGACTGAAAGGAGGAAAATCATCCATGTGCACTTGTATTGCATTCTCAATTTTGAAAGCATGTTCTGTAGGAGAGAATGCTGAAAAATTGAACGTCAAGCCCAAGCCTGAATCACAGAACTAGCAACACCGCGAGTCAGTGTGCTTGTCAGGAGGTCCAGCGTCATACTCAGGAAGCCTTTCAGCAGAATCGGCCAACGGGCCAGTGGGCCAATCCTGCATTGAATGATAAGGAGGCAGATCATGACTGCACTATGCACGAGGCAAAACAGTGAACAATAAAAAGAGAAAAAAGCCTAGTGATATTATCATATACACCAAAGGGGAGTTGAACCCCTACCGCTTGCTCAGACCTGCTTCTTTCCTTGGTATGGAAGGCAAGCATGATAACCGTTTCACCATCGGTGTGATGCATTTCTATCTGGCTCCATTACAGGTACCTTGCTTTCAGTGTATTACATGGATGCCTATCGTCTTTCTGATGCGCGAATAGGAACTGCTCATATGAGCGAGTTCTGGATGGCTGGAATCGGCGAAGGATATGTGTGTCAGTTCCCTGGATGAAATATAAGTAAGAAAGTGCTCGAGACGAGAAGAGAAGGCTCTCCATACTATTTTATACTGAATTCCGAATGGTATCATTGGTATGGCATCCACAGTCGAACTCGGATCGTTCCTTGCTAGTCCAATCGGTCGAGAAGGCAAAGTTTAGACATGGCTAGCTGGAAACCAGAAGAATGATTATCTTCATTGACACTAGGCAAACTCGCTCTTTTGGCGCCCCTTGTAATGATTAGAATGAATTGTTAATGATCATCCGGTGCATGGAAGCAAACTAGCTCACGCGTACCTCTCGAAAAACCGTAGAGCCATATTGAAAGTCGGGGACGAGCTGCAGTACAATCGCTGGCTCGACTTCTGACCAATCATATAATAGCTACAAGGCTTAGACTTTTCAGAATGTTCGTAAACCCCGGGGTAACGATGAGACCAAGCCTTGAGCATCTCCTAGCTCAAGAAGCTGTTGGCAGTGAAAGATGACCTTCTAACTGGAGTGGCGGATTTCACAGCATAGTAACATCCCAGAGAGAATCAGTGCCTAATGTCCCATCTCCCAGAGCTGGTCTAATTTTCCAGCCATTATAGTGCTCTTTATATCCGGATGGCGGAGACGGCGTTGTAGCGAGAAACCAGATGCAATGTACGAACACAGTTGGCATGATCCTGAGGAAGTCGACTACACATTTCTATCTGGACAGGCTATTGGAACAGAGTGTTGTTCAGAGATCAACAGCGCAAATGTCGTACTTAGAAGAAATATTCGGGTTCTGACAATTTAAACGAGTGCCGACTTTCATTCATGAAGAGTCGAGAATAGCACAGTAGCGAGCGCAGTAATAGGACAGAAATCGATTCAAAGATCTGGTATTTCTGAAACCGGACGTCAGAGCTACTTAAATTGAAGCGAGGAGCGAAAGAATCGAGCGAAGAGTCACGATTCAATAGACGATAGATTCGGCAATTCATCAGAATTACATGTTCCACATCACTATACTCGTGATCGGCAAAAGTGATGGCCGATGCCTTATTTGGCGCAGCGTGATACTCAGGTCCGTGATTACAAAAAATTCTAATCGTGCCATCTACCGTCGCCATCGTTCCAAATATACCAACTATCCATCCTCTAAAACCTTGTGTGACCTCCCTTTGCCTTGAGAACAGCTTTGACCCGATCCGACATGGACTCAATATGCTTATCAATATCCATTAAGGGCATTGAGGCCCACTCCTGCAAAACTGCCTCTCGCAGTGCCTTGGTGCTCGTCGGATGCCTTGGGAGTGCACGGAGACGCTTCTTGAGCTCATGCCAGACTGGTTCGATGGGGTTGATATCAGGAGAATTTGGTGGATGAGGAAGGAGAGGGATGTCATTTTGTGCAAGCCAGCGTTTGGTGGTCTTGGCTGTATGACTTGGTGCGCCATCTTGCTGGAAGGCAAGTCCTGGCCAGGCTTCCTCCAAATCCTTCCAAAACACCTTCAACTGACCCTCTAGCACTTGCTCCTGATAGCAAGCTGCTGTCATTCCTCCGCCTTTTCCACCAGGATACTCGAGAACAGCTAACAGCCCCTTCCACCCCAATGCGACACATCCCCACACCATTATGCGCACAGAAGACTGCTTAAATGTTGGCACTACGCAGCTGTCGTCCAACTCTTCATCAACACGCTGCATCACAAAAATCCAACCTGTCTTATCATCAAGATGGACGTAACATTCATCTGACCAAACCACCTTCCTCCAATCCTGCTCCTTGTGATCCTTTGCCCATCCTTTTCACGCCTTCTTTTGGCCTGCAGAGAGAAAGGGTCGTTTCCGTGCAACACGTCAATGCAGTCCATGGTCCTCCAAGGCCTCGGCGATAACCTTCTCACTCGCATCAATACCGACTTCGTTACTGAGGTCTCTGAGTGGCAGTCGGCGGTTTTTTACAGCTGCACAGGCAAGACGACGTGATGTACGCTCATCAATCTTCTTTGGCCGTCCACTACGGGGTAGATTTTTGACAGAACTGCACTCCCTGTACTTCCGCCAGATTTTTCGTGCCGTCTCATATGGAATGCCAGTGAGAAGGGCACTTTCATTTAATTTGTGTGTAGCGAGCATAGCACCAATGAACTGGTTTTTTGCTGCCTCATCATGTTCATGTCGCATTGTGTCTTTGGGCATCAGAAAAAGAAGCAGAATGACATTAGCGAAGTAGCTACACAAACGAAAAAATAATGATTGGCCGTGTCCATATTTGGTAGCGGCCATCACTTTTGCCGATCACGAGTATGCCTGGTTCAGCTACGCCTGTGCCAGAAGAAATAGACACGAACCGGAAGATCTGTCCTCTGCATGGAGTTTACGCAGCCCTTGGGTTCTCTGCTAAGCGACGTTATATTCGTTGTGTGTTGCTAGCAAGGATGGGTTGGCCGGATGCTAAAGATGCATCAGCGAGGGAAGGAGTAGGGAAAGATATGACATACGAAGAGCATCAGATTCTCAGCGGCAGTGTAGTCATCGCGCTATGAGTGGCGGGAATTGACGTAAGGTATAGTGACCTGAGGTGCGACTGGCATACCAAGAGATTGAGACAGAGCAGAGGACGGGAGAGGTTATCGCGCGTACAGATGATGGGATGTGTAATGACAGGAAGTACTACAGGCATACCAGAGGGTTGGGAGACAGTGGGCGAGTGTTGGATTACAAGAAGCCATTGTTCTGGTGTCTGCACGGTCACCGGTCACTTCCAAGAGCATCAGCCGTGCCTTTCGATAAGTCGAGCGTGTTGAAATGATTTGAGTGTGTTCGCCTTGCCAGCCGTCTCCGACAAACTGTTTAATTATATCAGGTCTCTCCGTTCCAAACGCCCGACGATCACGCACCATTGGAAAAAAGTCATGGGGGCCGTTCTCCCTTTCCATAAATCGATAGTGCCAGAGTCTGAGCGAGCCATGTCGCGTTCCAAGTGTACCACTAGACATGGGTCCAACGGTATAATCGCAAGCCAGTGAAGGTACGCTAGAGCAAAGTTGTCGTGACAAGAGGTAAGAGTCGGCAAGATAAATAGAAGCAAATAAAGCCACCTATGCGCTACCGGAGACCGGCCCGCCATTCCTCTTCGCTTATCGCGTCTCTTTGACTGCGATTTACTTTACTGCTGCGGCGCGACGAACGTATGTATGATACTGAGCCTGATAATTCCTGGCTCCCTCTCTCCTGCCTGTTCAGGCCTCAGGCTCTTGCAATTCTGGCGTCTTCAGGATAAGGTACGCTCATTGCGCTTCTTGCTCACAACTATTGCAGGAAATAAATCTTACTTTGGCAGCGGGTCCAGCGTGTTGAAGATGATGACCGGGTTCTCCATCCGACGGCCCTGTCAGGCTGACACTCAGCACACAGCTCCGATGCGAAAAACAAGAAATTACTTGAGGCGAGCTCATAATTGAGGCATAATAATTAGAGACATAACAGGTCTAACTCATTTAGCCACCGGCTATTAAGGATGGAGAGAAGAGAAAAGCGGACGCGTCCACAAGGAAGTTATTCATGCATCATGGACGAATCGATGACATTCCGAGTTGGACCTCTTGACTCAGGCCTTCCGCAGATCGATGAGCCCGGCATCATGCAATGCGTGTTCTGGTCCCTTCTTTCCACTTCCGCAGGTTTTCCACCAAAAGATCGTCTTTGCCACCGGAAGCGCTCGCCACAATTCTTCCATTCCTTCTGCCTGCACTCCCACCGCTCTCTCGCGACTTTATTTGAGAAGTATTATTAACGCTTACTGCCGCTTCGTTGAAATGCATTCTTTCTTGATGACGATGATGACTCGTCCATCACCATGTACTCCGCCTCTCCTATTGATACCTGCCTTCTCTCTACGCTCACGCCAAGCTGAAACTCTCTCGCTCCGCCGTCGCTGACTCAAGGTTCACTAGTCGCCATTGTGCCCCGTAATCTTATCCCTACAGATAGGTCGCTCCATTTCATTGTCCTTCCGCAAACTGCTCTTCCCTGATCGACGTGTGTATCACCATCTCCGGTCCTCGGGTTTGTCCTACAGGCATATTCCATCGTCTCACGCTAATTTTGGAGTAAGAGACGTCTCCCAGTAGTTTTCTCGTTTAGCTGACCCGTGTTCTGGACTTGAAGATACTCTCTTCACCGATAGAAGGCAAGCCGAGCTTGAAGAGCAATCTTTTACCGTCGAGCACGACCACATGTTATTTCAAAGCTGGTTCCAGCGGCAGAGGTCAAATCTCAAGATCCTACACAAATGTTCATTTATTCCTTGCTATTCCGCTATCTTCGAGAGCGGGCCGTCCGAATAGCAATGCCCCCGAGGCAGCGACGAACTATTGAATGAAGGATGCTGCTGATGGGAAAGACCAAGTTTTGATGTTCGAAGAGTTCCCCCAGCTGTGAGTTCCTTCTATCTTAAGACCACGCGTACCCAACACGTTTAACAGTCCCTCTCGCGTCTGAAAGTTCCCACCTCTCGTTCACGGCGCGCTTGACAAGGGCATAAAATCTGAAGGCGAAATGTAATCTCATAAAGGTTGGTTTCTTGTTCTTGCGTGATTTTCAGTTCTGATATCAAACTCTAGCGGGAGACGTTTCTCTATTCTTGCTCATCGAAGGCAACTCCTCTCCTTGAATGGAGAGTGTCTTTTCGAGAGCATAACTGTTACGATGAGCCTCCTCGAAAAATATTGTCGCCTAAAGGCTCTGAGCATACATGGTACGTATTTATCATAGAATCGCACACCTGATACTCCCCATCGTCGGAATTAAGACGCATCGCCGAGATCAAGAAGCGCGGTATCACACTTTGTGTTTCTCCAGCACAACTCCCAAGAGA